ACGGAAAATGATCGTGTCAATATTTTATACATGGCTTAAGTATATTATTATACATAATACATATACGTAAGAAAGTTACTAAATTGTCTTGTATCTACGCACCATATTGTGCAACAATATTCTTACCCACATGCTTATATAGGCCCCTCAAAAAGGTCTTTAATATAAATACATTATGCTATCAATAACATTATAATTAGATGGAAAGTTACATCTTTGTTTGGGATGTAAAAATGATGTAAATGTTATTTTCTGGGAATCTAAATTCTTATAATCTAATAATTACGAATCCATTTGAGTTTGAACTATAATGTTTACAAAATATAAACATGGAATTCGGTGCTGCTGTAATACACAATAGTAAGTAGCTAATAGCTATTAGGAATTACTTTTATTTTTTTTTTTACAAAAATACAAACCATAGTCTAAATACCTACTATGGTAAGAACAGCTAAGGCCTGACAATTTTTTTAATTTTGATTAGAGGCCATACGGTTATAATTTACAGTTCATTCCTGATTATGTTTATTTAGTGACTGCTTAAAGAAAATAGATATGAATTAATAGGTTAATTATATAGCTTAAACTTTAGACTATAACGGAGCTGGGAGCACACACTAAAGAAAACGGCTTTTCTCAGGGCCAACACATATACTTACTATTAATTAATAACATATTGAATACGACATCCGTAACATCGCGGGAATATGCATAGAGATTGTGATATGCGACGAGTCCATAGTCCGTTATATGCCCGTAGTGTCGCGGCTATTGCATACCACGTACTATAATATAAACGTTGGCCCTGAAAAGGACCGTGTTCATTATATATGTGCACGATTCACCATAACAATGGTCCTAGGTGTGTTGCTTAAACTTATTGTGATATCACGTCAGACGGATCTGTAGTCACCGATGAAAACAATAAAAAGAAGTCCATCTACTATTGCGACTTATTATAAAAAATGTTCTTTTCAGAATCATTGGCAAAGATAGCCGACCAGCATAGTGTCGCTCCGAGTCCTCAGTCTGCCCGTGATTTGCGTAAAATCGTGGAAACAATTTTGATTGGCTCGTCCTTATTTATCTATGCAATTAATTGATTTTTAAAATAATATGTCCAGCCCAGCCATTGTATTTTTGGTCGCGCCTCTTTTGATCCGCTTGCTCGAAAGCCGAGGCAACCGTGCTGATAAAACTCACTCTCCATAATTTTCACTATTTAATAAATATTGAAATATATCTATGTGGTTTTTTAATAATTTACAGAGGTAATCTGTTGAATACCTAACGCACCATTTCAAGAAAATATATATACATAATAACAGTGGCGTATTTTGGGGGAATATCTAAAATGGTCTAAAATGGCCCGATGAAATTTAAATAATTCCCGGATATTCTTGATAAACTGTAAAGTTAGCTAACAAAAATATACCTTAAGAGTGAGTATCGTCGAATCTAATAAAATTAATTTCATTTTTGCAACTTGGATATAAATACAAGTATTTTGATAAGTATGAGTAAAACAAAAATATATTGGGAAATGTTTTCCAAACTTGGAGGAGGACACCATACTCAAAATACAACACTAAATTATACATAATTACTCATTACTTATTTTTATGTAGCAACGAAGGGGGGTATTTCGTAATTCGGTACATTACTCAAATTTAATTATCGATTTTATTATATTGTATTGTATTATGTATTTATACCGTTATCACTAATTTAAAAGTTATAAATTATGGAACTACTAGTAGGTACTTAACGTGGGCACTCGGAGGGTTAGGTTAGGTATTTGTCTCTCCCCTTGATTTAAAGTATAATTTGCGATTTTCAACATTCACTACTTAGTTCATCACTCTCCCAGCAAAGAAATCAATTAAAGTTCCTTTTTTCAACTCTTGGTAATAACTTTTTCTTCACTACTGCTCTTTCAGCCAACAATATAATTATCATCAAAGGTGTACTTAAGTTTATACAAGAATCGAGTTTGAAATGTAGGAGTGTGAACTTTACATTTTTTTCCTATTCGACCAATGTCACAATGTAAAATATAACTATCAAGATGTTATAATAATTTTATAGTTAAGATCTCAATAGAGAAATAAAAAAAATTTACATGATCGGGTTACATAATGGTACACTGTAAAATGTTAGTCTACTTATTGTCTACTATTATTCTGCGTCTCTGCTCATTTTAACTTAATGTAAGTTTTAATTAAATAGATTATATATTATTTAGGTACTATTATCTACTACCGTGTAATTTGATTTAAGTGTGTGTATTATTTAAATTCTTAGAAAATTTCTGCTGCGAAAAATGAAATTAAAGATATAATATGTTGTATATTATTTTATAATGACTTAAAATTATGCAAACACTCAACAGAATATATTTTACAAAAACGTCAATTTTTTTTTTAGTGTTGAGTGTGTATTATAAAAGAATACTCAATGTGTGGTAGTTATCATTGACCTACATACTACATATATCAAGAATCAAGACATGAATGTTCAAAATATTTAATAAAACAATGTGAATTATAATAACGTTTTAATAATAAATACTATTATTTTATTTTTCATCTACAACTTGTTTGAAAATAACCACAACAAGAAAAATATTAATTGTCTAAATAACATCATCTATAACATAGATATAGACGATGTATATATTATATTTCATGAATTTAAGCAATAAATTATTACCCTCAGATCATTGAACGTGTTTGTTTTGTCTATTTCAGCCGCTTTTGGTGCTATTTCTCTCTGCGCATAATCAAAAACGGTTTTACGTAACTGAAATAAATAAAATTAATTAAAATTAATGTCTTCATCATTGTATCTTAGTTCTATATTAATATATCTAAATATCTACTATCTAATTTTTTATTTATTAATTATCTTATATTTTTAATATTTTTACATAGGTATCCCTAAATTCTAATATAGTGGTGTAAGTTAGACTAAATTGCTTGGGTTGCCATCAGTTTCTCGGTAAGAAATTTTATTTAAATAAACAGGTAAGTAAACATTCTAATAAACTGTTTCTAAAATATTTTAATAACTAAAAATACACTTAAAATGCAAAAATGTAGTTATTGTATTTAATTATTATGATAAATTCGATAGTTCACAAAGACAAGAAAGTCCTTAGAGAATTACATTTATTTTTAAGTAAAAACTTAAATTATTGATATTTTATAATTACTAATTACCAATTTAAAATAATAGTTATGTTATAATTCTTATAAGTACTTACCTTATTATAATATAGTTATTAATTAGGTAGGTATTTTGTTGAACACCTAAATATATAAGTTAGTAGCTACTTAGCTTTGAGTTGCTACATTATTAGATTAGCATCTAATACCTACAAATTCAAAATAAATATTTTGTCTTACCTGAATTTGTTCATCGTTGAGGTTAAACAAGATATCGTCGATTGGATAGTACGACAGAGACCTACGTGCTATTATTCGATGACTAAAGCGTGTAAATAAAAATCTGCCAAAGTGAACAACTGAATTATTCATATTTTCGGCGTTTTAATGATTATTAAAAATATAAAATTAAAAAAAAATTAAAAATATATCAATCTAGGTCTGTATATTGATTATAAATAACATACTATTTGAGTTATAGACGTATTATGATTAATGGATATACATCGCGCATATCGTATAGATTATTTAAACTGAAAGTGACGTTTACCTAACAGCTATAGGTAAACTAAACGTCTCTACAGTTTACTGTAAAAATGATCATTATTACACGGTTATTAGGTAATAAGGCCAAGATTATATTAGCCAATAGTTGGAAGTTATAGAGATAGGCAGTAAACTAATAACTAATGAGTAATACACGTGATCTTTTTTAGATTAAACAACCGCAGTGCCGATGTAATTTCGATTTAATTTATATGTTCAATAATTTATTATTATAGTACGTGAAAGCCGTCTTACATATAATAAAAACATATAGTTAATTCTATCATACGTCATACTATCGAAAAACAACAATCATTAATTTATTTTATTGTGGTGTTGGGAGACTGATAAGTGTTATTTATTATTTATAACTTTATAAGATGATAAGTCATTAATTGATTTGGATTTTAATGTATTATTAAATCATAGTCAAAATCTATCACTTGCATACTGGATACAAAATCAAAGCAAAACATTCGAAATAAAAACTTGAAAAATATATTTTTATTGGTTTTATTTGTTATAATTTTATGAATATTTTTTTGTTGATTTTTTGTGGACATTTTTTAAAAAGTTTCATGTAGCCCTTGAAGTTTAAGTCAATCAAACAAGAATTACTTAAATACGCTAAAGTTGTTTTTTAATTTCTCATAAGTATTATTCAAGCAATAACTAATAACCAATTTTTTTTTATTTAAAGAAAATATCATTTAGTACTATTTTAACGAAGTTCTCTTAAAATTGTTTTTTATACTCATAAAAAATAATATACAATTATTTTCCACAAGTTATATGTAAATACTTTTAATTATAATATAACTAATAAATAAAAGTTTGAATTTTATTAACAACAAGCAAAGTTTTTATTAATTTATTTATTTTTTTAGTTATATAGGTTACATTAGAAGATACAACATTTAAAGTATAACTTAATTGAAAAAAGCAATTTGTGTTCATAATACTACAAGTCTTTGATTCATATTTAATTTATTTAAATAATTTTCTTATACAATAGATTATATAATAATGAGATTACTTAAATAGCACATAATATTTAATTTAGTTATGCATAATTAATTAATTAAAAATAGCATTATACATAAATTTAAATCCTTGGTTTATGCTACAACAAAACTCAACAACTAAAGACTATACATTTAAATTATTCACAAAAAAATATTGTCATTGGTAGATAATTAGACATTTAAAGATAAAAATTATAAAGGAAATTGGTAACACTAAACATTTCAATAAAGTATATAAAAAAAAATGAAAAAATTAGTTTGATCACTATTACACTATTGATTTTATAAAATCAATAACAATGCTTAATAATACTAAGAAATGTTCTAATTATTAATTGTCATACCAATCATCAGTACTTTTTGCTTTAGTAATACTATTTTCTACTCTACTTAATGACACACTGATTCTTCTAAGTATTTCTTCATCATTGACAAAGTCTATATTGCCAAGAACTCTTTTTAGTTTTAACAAAATGTTTGTTTTTAAGTCTTCAACATCCATTTTTTCCTCTTTTAGTTGTTCATCAATATCAATTAATGACCTTTTGTTAAAGATGCCTAACATATGAACATGTTCACATATAGTAATTTCTCCTCGTCTACACGAACATTCATAAATATGTGCACAAATATTATAACATGTTTGACACTTGACCGTGCAATCTATGATTTTACAAAACTTTCTAGTAACTGTCACATAGCCATCATCTGAACCATCATCTAGTGTAACCCGCCATTTATTATTAGAAAGGGGGAAAATAAGTTTAGATGGATAACACATTGCGTTTTTGTGATTATTGGAAATTTTAATATTGATTTCTTCAATTTTAGTTTTTCTATTTTTCTGAATTTCTAAGAGAGCTGTAAAGAAAATGTGCATATTTTTTGATAAATTTGGAGTAAAATGTTTTTTGTTTTCACAGAGTACTATCATTTGGTTATAAACAGTGTTAATATTAATCATTTTATTTAAGTTAAGAGACTCTTTTAAATAACAGAAAGCCCACATATCAGCTCTACTAGCAAACATCTGATCAAAAAATATTCCAAATAGTTTTGTTTCATTGTTCATCTTAAGGTTATTATTAGTATAATTTATAATTTCTTGTTTAATACTTTCATCGGGTGCATTAAAAAATGTACATATTTTATCATAAATTTCATGTTGTAAATCTTGATTTTCGATTTCAGTTTGAAGTTTTTCTATTATTTGATTATCAATATATCTTTGGTTAATAACATGTCTAACTGGTGACATAATTGAGCACCAACTTTCATACAAATCATAGTTATCATCAGTGATTAATGCTTTAGCATAAATACAGCCCATTTTATTGAAAATGATATTTAAAAAAAATGATTGATAAATTTTACTATCATTACACATCATAAAACATACTGGTAGCATCACATTAAATTCATCACACACATACAACACAGTCAAATACAATTGAGCACGAACCATACTCATTTCAGTGACCATGAATATTCCATCTGTTCCAAATTTATTTATCCAATTATGTTGATTTCGAGTCATAAATATTAACATAACATCATTAAACTCAAAGTTTTCACATGCTACATTATTAGGCTTATAAAACAATATAGGATTATCAGGAGTACGTTGTAATTTCAAAATCCATCTATCTGTGCTGAGATCATTGATTGTCCTATGTTTAATAAATTCTGGATGTCTAATTCCTAATTTACGTTCAATATTCTTAATATCTTTCCTATTTAACATATGAACACGTCCCAATGAATCTGATGCCTTGGCACGAGCAGCATTAATGACAAAGTCTGGATGATCTCCTCGTTGAATTAATTCAGTAATTTCTTCTCGTTCACGTTTGGTCATTCTCATATGTTCAGTTGATATGTCATGACCATAGTGTGTAGCACATAATAATATTTCAACAGAGCCATCTTTGTTTTGAATTTCTTTAATAGATGCAGTACATAACCCTTTTACTTTAATAGGAGTACTGCGTTTTCGCACTCCTTTAGACTTACTAGTGAAATATGTAGACCGATTACAGTAGTAATAAGAAAGTTTCTTACCATCCTGAAGTGTCTTACAACCAGTAACACGGACATAACGACTATTATTTTCTTGTTCAAAGTCTTCTTTCCATGTTAGAAAACCTGAAAATGTATTAATTGTTAGTTAAATAAATAAATCCTTATCTATAAAAATATATCAAAAGATATACATAATATAATGTCTTACCATCTTCTGAGGTGAACTTCAAACTGCGTATGTCAAAATCAATACAATGATCAAATTTCAAATGACTAATAAAGAGTTGTTTGTTGTAAAATTTACATTTGCATCCTTTTTCCATACATTTTAAATCAGTAGATTTTCTAGGTCTTTTCGTTATAAAACCTGATACAATTTTACTTCCATCATTGTGCATAGAGTCAAGATGGTTTTTTAGACTTGTTTTATTTCGAAACAAAAATCCACAAAGAGCACATTCCACAGTAGGATACCTACAAAACATTAAAAGATATTAAAATTATAATGTAAATTTGTTTACGGTTATAGTTATATTATTGCTAGCTAATTCTTTGATAATCACTTAATTAAAATTCTATAGTTTAATAGTCATCAATTTAAATATTAAATTCATTACTATATTTTTTTAGAACAAATAATTATTTATTATATTCTATAATCCACCAGAAAGAAATCATTTAAAGAAATTTGAATAACTCAAAAAATGATACAGTAAAATGATGCTTAATATAATATATATATACAGCAACTAATTGTAAGTAATCACAACTTAACAGATATTAGATCATATATATCTAGTATTTAAAGTTAAAAGCGTTCAAACTTAAAATGTTATAAATATGTAATAATGTACACATATATTCTAATACTTTCAATTTGTCTGCTAGTCATAATTAATTTAAATGCAATACACTTTAAACTATAATCCTAATCTAACCAAAAAATAAAATGTAGTTGATTACAAACATAATAATAAATAATACTAATTTTTAATGAGCCTAAATATTTTAACTAATTTATTATGTACCATACAAGTCAACAATATTTGATTAGACTTGTACTGTTAAAAAATTAATCTTAAGTCATACCATAGTAAGCTGCTGTGATTACGTTTAGAGCTTTGCAGTCAAAAGATGAACTAATAGCTACTACAGTTTTATTTTCTGTCAACTTACTTTTTAATGTTTTCATAATCAATGTTCACCATAATTACAATAACAATGAATGACAAGTTTTAATAATTTTAGATTTGCATAATGTGTATCCTAATTATCATCATTAGTACAGAGAAATCATAATAATGAACTAAAATAATTTTAAATCCTCTATATCAACCAACATATAAAACACACCAAATAACTGCAATTTGCAATTAGAAGTTTGCACTTAATAGTTTTGTACTCTCTGCAGTTTCATCAACTTTCGATACTGAAAAAAGTAAACATAAACAAACAGCAATTTTGTTATCAATTGAAACTAATAATAAATAACGACTAGAGTGATAACACCGTGAAGATTACAAGAAATAAGGTAACCTACTCTTATAATAGCACCACCATAGATAATAATATATTATTGGTATTGGAATAGCCTATCCTTTATACTATCTATGAACATTAAGCACCACAATAACATATTATTATTCAATTATAATAATATTATGAGGTATCTGGTCTGGTATACAATATTTAAAATATTTGGTTTTGGTAAAATTTTTATTACACTAATACAGAAGTAATTAATCATTAATTTAGGCCTGGGATTTAAATATGCATTATAAAATACTAAATAGTGATGTAAGTACAAGTACTCAATACACGTTTAAATTTGAAATGATTGATGCAATATACAATTAAATTGCTAATATGACAATATGAGTAGGTACTTAGTACCTACATCGGCTACATCAATAAAATTATTATAAAATAAACTACTTTACCCACGTCTGACATCATCGCTGTTATAATTTTTTTCTGTATTTTCGAGATCTCTTTAATTTTGTAGTTGATTTCACATTTATTTACAGTTACAGATCACTTAATGTCTAAGGGAACAAGAGAAGGTACCTTCGTATATTTTCATACAATTTTGTATATGAGCGATAAGGGTAAAATAATTTGACTTTTTAAAATAAAATATTAAATGCAAGTGAAACAGTTAAAATAATCAACTTAACGTCATATAGTTACAATGTAATTTATATATATTTGTATATAAAGCGTATATTAATATCCAGAATAATTGATAGGTTTGTAAATATCAATAAAAATATTTAAATGATTATTATATGAAATTGATATTATTTTTATATCTTATTTGTTATTAATGTTATTATTAATATAAATATTATATGAATTACTATGAATTTATATTTGTAAAAAATGTAAGTATACATTAAATGTATGAAATTTGCGTATGCTATATGTAATAAATTGCAATCATTTTACGGAACTATTAATGATTATGGAGATATGCATCCTATATATTATATAAGGTAATTTTTTAAAGGATAAACACTTATTTTCTCCAAGTCTTAGAAAATCTGTAAATATTTTTTTATACATTACTTGAAGTCATTAAAAATTAAATTGTTGAAAATAATTCTTTGTTTATCGTTATAATTTTTTACTTTTTATCATAACAGAAAGTACTTATGTATTTTTGAAATATTTTGATACTTTTATAAAATTGAATTCCCAATGAGCAATTCATAAGTTTAAAAGAGGACCAATATTTTAATAGAGTATCTACTCAAGTACATTATTTTAAAATATATATTATTTTTTAATATTTATTAAGCATAAAAATATAAACAAAAATGGTCTTTAAAAAATGCAAAAAGTTTGTCAGAAGTGGGATTCGAACCCACGCCCTCAGATGAGGACCAGAACGCTCGTATAGACCTAGAGTATAGGCCAAGGTTACCCTTGAGTCTGGCGCCTTAGACCGCTCGGCCATCCTGACATGGTGAGTAACGGTTTAATTTGAACTATCTGTATGTGGACATCTGTATAGTAATAACAAGTAACTAATAACTAATAAGTTATTAATTATTATTATTATTATTTTTCGATTGAGCTTATTATTATTATTAATAAAAATATGTATTTATTAATTAAAAATGTTTGATTATATTCTTACCAAAAAATTTAGTTATGTGATTTTAATTTTTAATTGAAGGTAACATTTTGACCGACCGACTTCTTGGTAGTTATACTGTTATACATAAATAATAAAATATCTATGTTTATCCTTAAAAGACATTAACAATAAGCTTACTCAAACATATTAATTTAAAATCGCTTAACAATCACTACACTTTGATTAACTGACAACAACTTTTACAAGTTATAAAGAATAAAAAATAACTTTCAATTTAAACTTAACTGACATATTTCTATATTACCTAACTGAACTTAACCTGCAGTTAAAAAGATTAGTTACTTACTTGCTTAGTTTTCATAATACAGAACTTGGTAAAAAACCCTCGAATAAAAAGGCTTCGTCAATGTATTATATACCTATTTTTATCAACAAACAATGAAGAATGTCATTTTTACCAGACGGTGTTTAAAAGTTAAAACCAAGTAGGTACCTATTGTAAAATCGCATAGCATACTTGAAGTTCATGAATAAAATGATTTTTTCTGTATCTTTATTTGTAACTGCCTTTTGACAGAACTCTGTACCAATATGGCATAATATGCCCCCTTTACCCATACGCCAAATTACGCTATCGACTTTTATAAGTTAGGTAATCTTAACTCTTGACTTCTTAACCAACATTTTAGATAAATTAGAAGAGTAAGTAATTATAATACAAAATGTAATTTATGTGTTATTTAAAAATGTTCAATTATTGTTAAAATAAATAAGATTGTATGCACACTACCTTAAAATTATTAATCTTTCATATAATTATTATATCGTTTGAATTCAATACACCAATACCCATTTATACTATATTCAACTAAAGTTCTTGAATCTGTATTACCATTATATAAGTTGCATAACTACTGCATAACAATAATAGTTGAGTTTAATTTGTCATCTGCTATCATCTTGGTCAGTATGATCTATAAATAGGTACTAATTAATTTACAAGTTTATAAATAATTAACGAAAAAATAATGAATGCGTCGACCTGAAAATTATTTTTCTATTAGGCGATAAAAACTGTTAAATCATTTACGTGATATGTAGGTACATTACACCACAAACTTTATAAACAGAAAATCGTGCTGTAAGGTTGTAAATATAGTCTATAGATAGGATAATAATATTAACAACACCAATATTACTTTCATGGCTTTGTTTATTATGTATTATCCATATCAGATATCTGAACAATAATAATAACAATAATAACAACTATTTTAATGCAGAATTGTCGGTATAAAAGCCTAACGGTAATACGTACGTGGTGTGTTATACAATATAACACAACATACCTAAAGGCTAAAATATCACGTCCTAAATCGCTCAATCACTCGTCAACGCATCTATTATAATAGCATCACGTCTTACATTCTGCATCATATTATACTTAACAGTTGTTGGCATTAGGCAGATCGCAGACATAAACTATTGTTCGCATACAGCTATTACAGCTATTATAGTGGCTTGTAAATTATTTGTAAAAATGAACATTATCGTCGGTATCTCGGTGGCTTTATTGGCAGTTGTTTCAGCACTACAGGTAACCATCTATATAACCAGCGGATTTAGACAGTTATAAAAAGAAAATATTAACTCTCTACACACCACCATTATTTTTCACTGGCTAATATAATTTTATTGTTTTCGTTAGCTAGGTCCAGGCGAACTTTCGTTGCGAGCATGATTATGACGGTCCTGCAGCACCGCTTCACTCTCACCCGAGCTCGAGTCACTTTGGTGAAGATCCTGCAGCTGCATTTGCAGCCCGCATCTTGGAGCCTTTCACCTCGACTTTCACTCCACACCGTCATGCTAAAGGCCCGTACAACCTGCTACAGCTGTTGCCGTTTCCTGTAGCGCCGTTGAACATCGCACAACCGTTAACGCCATTGCAGCCGACCCTTACTCATCCCTCTCTACTTGGGCCATTGTTTTCGCTGTTTTAATAGTAAAATAAATTCTCGAAAATATAATAAAACTATCAGTTTTATCGTTAGTCCAGATTTTCAAAGATTTTGCAAGTTTGAAGAAACTGTCAACTGATATTATTAAATATAAATCTATATTGTATGAGTTTACGATTTCAGCTTAACATTAAAATTATGTTTTTTGTTTTTATATAAACAGATAAACACACTGGCTATATTTCATAAACTTGCACAACATTATGAATGATTCGTTGTTATGCAAAATATCATGTCTTGTTGGCAATGTGTTACACATATTTAAAAAAAAACTTCGTTATTATAAAACAACCATTTTGCGAGTACGTTTAATTTTAATTCTAATCTTTCGATTTTGGTTTGTGATTCAAAATATTAAATTCGTCATTTGTTCTAATGCTTGAGAATCTCTCATTAAGAAATATATATGCACTATTCAGATATCGTAAATATACTCTACAATATTAAATAATTTAAATTTTATAATATATAGTTTAAGGTTTGTTTATTGCTTAATAAGACATGCATTTATGTAGTATATACGTTTATGGTGTAAACATAATATTATGCATAATGCACATTCCATGATATTATGTTACAAAATAAAGATAACATTAAATTTATATTTTATAATGCCATAATTTTAACTTTATATATTCTTAGATTTTTGTATTTTAAAACGAATAAAATAAAGGTTTTGTGTTTATTATAAACATTAGTGCAATAAATTATAGTTTAGTACTTAACGAAAAAAATTTCTTTATATTTATAAAATACTATTCATATAATATTATATAATCATGTATATCTTTGTGTTTTAAAATTACCCGTACTGCAGACGGAATTAATGTTTGCTCTAATAAAAAAAGGTATGGAAGGAAATCGATGAAATACTACTATTTTATAATATAATATTAACAATAATTTATTGACCATTCAGCTAATCATATTATTAAGATACACAATTTAATAGTTCTACAATTTGATATATTAAGTCCATTAAGGTAATCGTATATACCTAAGAATGCACACCGGCGCATCTTGAAACCAATTTTTTAGGTTTGGCACTTAAAAAAAAGACTAGTTGGTTACAGCAAATTAAATAGGTATTATAATTAGATACAATTTTAGACCTGTATTTTATGTTTGGTCAAAACATCCTTAATGTCCCAAATAACCTATACCGTGTTAAAAATACACGTAGTTCACATTCAACGGATAGTTTTCAAGACCCCGGATAAATAATCCACTGCGGTATTAATTAATTTGTCGAGGAAAACACCGTACAAGATCAGCTAGTACAGTGTCTCTCAGCCTGGGGGTCACGACTCTCTTAGAAGTCGCCAACTTATTAATTAGGGTCGCTAATGTATGATTTAAAATTTTAAAGTTCAAATAATAAAATAAAGTAATGAAAAAATAAAATCAATAAATATAAAACATTGTATCGTGTACAGTATTACTACAGTAATTAATAATAATTATGCGAATATACAAAAAAATATAATATATGTAGGGGGTCGCTAAAAAATTGAAATTCAAAAAGAGGGTCGCCACAGTAAAAGGTTGAGAAACGCTGAGCTAGCTGTGTGTACAAGTGTACGGCAATATGAACGTCGTGCAAAACCTATCGCAATATAAAAATAAATAAAAATAAATCTGATCACGTAACGACGTATGACTTGATTATTTCCGTTGACGGCCGCAGATGAACATGTTGCACTCACGTCCAATGCCGGTGGCCGACCACTTCATGGCGTCCCGGCCGTCCCAGGACGACGTCGGTGGGCAAACCAGCACCGCCGAATTGGGCGAAGTATGCGAAACGTGCCGTTATGATTCGTGAAACCGTGATTAGCATGGTAAAATCAAAAGTTTAATTTAATATTACACAACCTCAAACCACGATTAAAACAATTTGAAATATATTGGTGAAATCAGCCGAAAATTTAAAAATGCTACACGTATTTGTAATGGTATATATTCATGGTTACTAAAACATATTAGACACCGTGTAATACCTACCTATTTATAATATTTTACCAGCACCCTACAGGTCAAAATGAATGTTGTAACTGATGTATATAAGCACACTATTTATTTATACGCTAAACGCTTGAAACAAAAGCAACTATACAAGCATACATATATTGTGAAAATCCGAGAAAATTAAATACAACCTATATTGTACATTGCCTTCAACACAGTTCAAGTTATTCATTTTAATGATTTAATTCGTTTATTATTATACGACAACAACTGCAGGTTACGATAGTATTACCACTTATTATACGTGAATGTGAAAATTTTCAACGTCGCTCGTATCTTAATAATAGATATCTTATTTGTTAATTGTTAGCAGTATGATTGAAAACGAAACAGAAATTTTAATTATTTTTATACTCGCCATTTAATTGCCCAATTAATATGTCAATACCTCAATCAACGATCAGCTCATCGACATTACAATAAATATGTGATTAAAACAACACAGCTAAATCTCAGTTGACGGGGATCACAAGTTCAGACCCAAGTATAATAGTATAATGTTTGTAATATATTATGTTCTAATAATAATATATGTACGTAGAAAATAATTCACGAGTTTATATATTCAGAAAAATACGATGGATCATAATATAATAGGTATTATATGTAAATTAACATGAGAAAAGCCCGACTGTTCAATATTTACATTGCAACCGAATCGTATTATTCAACGTTTTAGCTATCATTTTTCGATGTGTCAAAACTATATATATATATATATATATATAGTGAAAAATATATGTACGAGTATACACTATACAACACAATACTCATGG